GTTCCGGGTTCGATTCCCGGGCGGGAAGACATATTTGTATGGCCTGCATTTATTTATCTTGTGTAATTTGTGTTTGTGTGTGTCCATGGCACCTGTGATACAGGGTTTCCCTAGCGCTCGGCTATGAGTGTTTAAAAAAAGTAACAATATTAATGATAAAAATTAAAAATTTTAGAATAATAAGATAAAGAAAAAATTTAGTAATAATAATATTTGTAAAATTGCTGCAAAGTACATTCCAAATTAAAAATTAAGGTGATGATAAATATCAAATAGTATAAAATTACATAATTTTTTATTGTACAGTGTAACAATTATTATAAAAAATTAGGTAATAGCTAAGGTGGACAAATTACGCTTCTAATATACTTACTTATCTTTAATATCTCAATATGAGAACCTTATCACGTACAAATACGTCAAATAAACGGTCAGTCACTATGAGTACAAGCAATGTTCTATATAAACAAGCGCTATGGCCCTAATTAGTGTGGGACTGATTGACTTTAGCACTACCTTCAACTTCCAAACTTCCAGAGCTTCAAGTTCCAGTTGTAAACGTATCTCATTTGTTCAACTTTCCTCTGCAGAATCGAGTGTATCAAAAATTCATAATCCGTTATTTTTATTTTAAATAACGCACACACTCAACATAGCCCGGCACTAGGGAAACCCTGTGTCGCGGGTGCCATGGACACACACATAGGCAACCACAAATTACACCCAAACTCACGAGAGAAATAAATGTAGGCCATACAAACATTTCTCCCGGCCCGGGAATCGAACCTGGGACCTCTGCGTGGCAGTCCGGCATGGTAACCGTTCGGCCACAGAGGCAGTTGAAATATATTTATATCCACTCCATACATGTCGCCAACATTTCGGTTCGTTTGCAAAGCAATAGTGCCATGTCGAAATATTAATAGAAATAATATGCATATTAACAATATCCACGTTTGATTTCAAAAAAAGGACACCAATTAATAACGCCAAAATTTTAATCTACAAGCTACTAATTTGAACCTTGTACTAAAACGACTTTAGTTAATTTCAAAGTGATTACAATTTGTTTTAACTTGATGAAATCGAGTGACCTTACAAAAATTAGTTAAATTTACAAATTTCGATGTCCTTTCGATTTATAATTCATCAACAGCTATCACAAATTGCCAAACCAATGCATTCGATTGTGACAGTGCAAACGGAGGCAATCACGTCAATTCCAAAACGAAACCGACTTTACGGGGTGACTATGAGGAAACCATTCGGTAACATAATATTGGAATCTCTAATACTCATTATTCTATAAAATGCCAAAGTTTGGTTTGTAACACCAAAGAGGTGCATATTCGAGTGGTATTTAAATTTGGGCGAATGAGTTGGGTTTTTAACCGACTACAAAAAAGGAAGGAGACGATTTTTTTGTACGTATGTTACGCGATAACTCTAATAAAATTTGTGAGCCGATTTTGATGGTTATTATTTTGTTGAAAAGAGGGTACCTCACAAGTGGTCCCATTTAAATTTGAAGAAAATGTTCCACCTCTAAGGGTGGCAAACTAGGGGGTTGAATGACTTTTGAGGTCGGATTTTTTAGTATTGTGTACTGAGATTATTCCTGATAATAAGGGACGAACAAGTGGTAAGCGACACGCCTGTACATAACAGTTACACTGCCAGTCAAGTCTTTAAATCACAATGATCTGAGGGGCAATGACACTGCGCACGTAATCGTGAGACATAAGTTCCGTGTGCCTGTAATTTCACCAGCACCCTTAGCCTTCAAAACTGGAACGCAGTACTGCTCACATTACAGCTTCGCGGCAGAAATAGGAAAAGTGACAGTACTTCACAAGACGACCTCTTTCACATGAAGCTCTGCTGCTGCTGAATAAAGAATAATGAATTGAATTAGTCCCTGTGTTCAAAGTTCTAATACCAGGAGTATTAGAACTTTGAACAATACTTATAGGTAATTCCTCAGTTAAAGACCAGACAATTATTGTAGTTGTCTAGCACAATATTATTATTTATTATCACTTTAAGATAATTCTATGATAGAGGTACGGAGTCTAAGTACGTCAAACTTGACAATTAAGATGTATCTCTATGTGCAATACGGAAACATGTAAAGTAATATTATTATAGTATTGTCATGAATATTACACACACCGCAATTCGTCGATGAGCTTGAAAATAATCACCTCCACTTGGCACAAAGGGTAGATAAAGTGATTTGACGGACGCCAGCCTCCGTCCACTGCCCGGATAGGTGTAATTGGGGGGTTTATTGTTGCAATTGCCCGTGTTGACCAGTTTGTTTACCAACAGGCTGTTCAATGATTCTACTCAATTCTCGATACCATTATTTGAAACTATTCTACGTTATAAAGTGAATTTATAAAATATTTTATATTCGACTTATAAATGAACAAATTTTTCAAATTCCTATGACGATATTGTAACGGACTGTAGTAATGGGGTTCGGGTGGGTGTTATTAAACAGTTATCAACCGAAAACAGAAAACAATAGTGACAGTAACAAGAAAATGCGCCAAAAATAAGTATATTTAAATTTAGAATTTAAATATAAAACTAAACTTAAAAAGGTTATATAAGTAAAATATTTATACATACAAAAAAGATTTGTAGCGAGTGTTGCGATTCGCTACACGTATATGCTTACGACTTTAATTTTCAAATTACATACATTTGCTAATAGTGTCAATACTTCTCGCTAACGGTGACAGAAAACATCGTGACGAAAAGTTGACTAGGGCCTACACTTTCTCCTTAGAGAAGATCTGTGCCTGAGACGTACGACGACGAGCTTCTATAATAAGATTACGGTTGATATTCAAAATTTGCCTTTCACGAGGTTTAAAATTATAGCGAAACAAAAACTTTATACTAAAGGTTGTATAAACTGCTCTGCGTACTTGGATGACAAAAATCCGTGGTAATGACCCGTTTAGCTCTTGCAAGTAATCTCGATTGTTTGAGATAATTTATAAATGACTTGTTTGTCATTTATCATTTGTTTAACATTTATCATTGCTCATTCTTCTCAGGAGAATCTGACTTAAGAATGAGCAGTAGAGCTTAAACAATATGACGAGTGTAATTTGCTTACCTGTTTAATAAAAATTACTTAACTTTGACTCTAAGATGATGATGATATTTTGCACAAACTATATTTATACAGCGAATATAGAATCGACATTTTGGAAACGGCGGATCTTGTTGTGCATACTACAACAAAGATTATGAATGTCCTTAAAAAAAATCCAATTCAAGACTACTCAGAACACACAAGTATATTGTTAATCTGGAAGTGAGAGGAAGAAACGTGTCGTAGAGGTATGCTAAAAAGTAAGTAGCAATCGGAGGCCCGTCTCTATCTACTTCTCTATCTTCTTTTTATCACATCGATAGCATGAGCTGTAATGCTTACCATGATGGTAAAAGAATTTGCCAATCGCCGTAAGGTACTCGTCAATTGTTGCTCTGGGTTCGCCAGAAGTACAGTAAAGGAATGATCAGTCGAGCGTGGAGGCTCATTTCGTGCACCCTTACTCCTCTATGAGGCTGTGAAGACACTTCTACACTAACTGAAAAAAATATCTACTAATCTCTGTCTGTAGTGATAGCACGACGAACGACAGCGACATAAAGCGCGGGATCTTTATGTGAGAATGGCATTTTCTCGTGCCTTATGTCGCATTCGCGTAAGTCGCGGCCTGTTGTGCTAGAGTATTTCGAGTATTTAACCAGATATAGAGGTGAAATGTCATTTAATTTAGGAAATGAAACTATTTTTCCGGATTTAAATCGCGTATATTCTGTAAAGGGCCCGAAACATTGGTATATATACGCGATTTAAATCCGGAAAAATAGTGTCATTTCCTATGTGTAACAATCGCAAAAACCTAAGAACTCGATATGTCATTTAATTTGTTTCAAATCTAGTCTGCCAAATCATTGCGGCGACAACTGCGCTCCGGTTGGCTAGCCCGAATCCGAAACAATTGACGGGTGTCGTCAATTGATTCACTTCAAATCGACTAGTTTAACTTGAGCTTTGCTGTAATAGACGAAAATTGAAAAATTACTTGTTTAGTATTTAATAACCGATGAAATGTAATTCCGTTTGTTTTGTAATTAGATGATTTTCTGTTTTTCCCACACCACCGAATGGAACAGCCCCCCATAGTTAGAGACAATATCTTTATTACAATAAAAAAAGAATATTTTTGGAACATTTTAGATTTGTTTTTTAATTTCAGTTAGTTTCTTCAGTCCGTTAGTTTGTTTAATAAAGGAACTACATGAAATACCAAGTGTAAACTCCAGTGGAGTATATAAGCTTCTTGCTTGCGTTTAAATAGATTCAAACGCGCGTAAAACTGGAATAAGTAATAATAATTACTTATTTACTTTAATAATAAAAGTAAAATTGTAATGCGCTTCTCGCGCGCATCTGTATGGCGTTTGAATCGATACAAACGGAACAATCTGCTTTTTGGGCCTCTACGGTCGACGCGTATTAAATACGCCGTATGTATAGACTGTTGTGAATCTATAATATCGTTATCAACTGGCTGGTAGTTGCCAGGCCTGCCCAATGCCAATGTCTTGGGCCACCTTCATCAAACATCTTTCCGCAACCTTCACCATAATCATTATACATTGAATAAACATTCAATATAGCAAACTTTCTGCTATCGTCGGTGACGAAAGTGGGAATTCTTTATCAGTCGAAGTGTCAATGACACTGTTTAAAGTACTTGTATCCGCGACCGACACCGCCGGAGAAAGTTGTTTGTATTCAAATTAGGTTGCTCAACTCTATCAGTGTGATTCATTCAAGTTCAGCTATCAATCGATAAGGTTCACGTAACGACACTTATTTAGAATTCATTAAGGGATAAAATATACTTGGCGTCTTTTTAACATTCATATATTTGCATTTAAATCAGTTATAGATGTGAAATTATTCGTGTAATAAAGTCATAAGTTAAAAACGACAGTCGTATTGGTATAAAAAATTCAAGGCCATAACACATTCCCATAGTTATATGAATATTCAAAACAGAGTTTCAAGATCATACTACGTATTCTAATATTATTATAATACTTAACGTACATGTACAGTCAAGAACACATCAAGCTTGATGCTTGAAACACTCAAAATAAAAAGCATCTTGTCTATTACATCTTCTTTGATACGGAGTATATCTTCTCTATGTTGTCACTGATCCAATCTTCGTACACTGATACCCTGGTATATACACCTGGATAAACTGCGTTGGCACATCCTTCTCCCCAAGAGACAATACCAATTAAATACCCGTTAGCCACAAGAGGTCCACCCGAATCTCCCTGACAGGCGTCCCTTGACGGATTTGTCGCCCTTGCGCATATCATACCAGAAACAATTCTTGAAATTTCCTCGTAAGCTCGAGAACACGAGCTCTGGGAAACTATTTTGACGTGAGCTGCAAGCAGAGTTAGTGGCATTTCTCCATTTTCCTGCAATGAAAACAGAAGTTCCATCAATATTTCAGATCCTGAGTTCTTCTTCGTAAAATAATTCTATCTTCCTTAGAAATAGCGGAAAACATCAAAAAATACTTACCAAAGTACGACCAAATCCTGACACCAATGCCTCAATATCAGATGGTAGATTTAGACTTTTTGGAGCATAAGGAATAGGACTGACAGTTTTCCCAAAACTGATGTCCTTAAGAGTTACAAGAAGAGCAATATCGTTTTCTAAAGAAATTGCATTGTAAGATTCATGGATATTCACTCTCGATACACCGTAACTCGTGCCACCTGTCAGACGATGGTTGGTTCCTACAACCACTCTCACTGTTGATGGTTTAGCAACGTAACTGAAAAATTTACAAAACAAACAAAATTATGTACAAAAAATTACAAAACGTCTTGAAACACTGATTAATAAAATTTATTTATACAAAATCGTTATTAAAATCAAATTTCTTAGCTTATAAAGTACTATAAATAGTCGAATTATAAAATGGTTGAAACCTCCACTGGTAACATGGTCATGACTTCCTTCCAAAATTAGGAGATCAGAACAAAAAAAATAGCAATACCTATAATACAAGATTAAAAAAGAACAACTCACCTTACCACACAATGAGCAGCCGTCAAAGCTGATCTAACAGTAATGATAGAAGCACCGCACGTATATGACCATCCTGAAGTCCCTACTAATCGTCGTAATGCTGCATGATAGGGGACGTCTTTGATGTCTACTTCAAAGCCATTAACTACTCTTGATGAATCTGCTGAAACGTCCCAAGGGAGCGATGTGGTCAAACTTGATAATAATACTGAAAAATAAATAATTTTACTGTGTTATATAATCGTAAATATTTATAAAAATGACGAAATTGTGGTACAAAAATCTTGAAGAATTAAAAAAAGGACTTTTAATAATCGTATTTTTTGCTAATTGATATTGGTCATTAGTTATAATTGACACAATGAATATTAAAGAAATAAACTATTACCATCTGAGTAGATTTGTAAAACGCAAAGCTTGTTGCAACTTACCTAATAATAAAAATATTTCAACGATTCTCTTCTTCATTTTGTTATTACTCTTATTACCAACCACAGACTAAACCCAATTGGCGATTTTGGATCAGTTCAGCTGAGATAACTTTATCATTTCAGTCAAGATCATTTGTTTTTATCTTAGGACTTGCTGTAGTATTAGTATGTCAAGAGCGTTTAGATAAACTTGTTTAGTCACCTGTTGCTGTTCAGGTTTTTTTTGTTAATTCGAAATGGCAATTGAAGTTTTTTTTATCCACATCTGAAATATGACTTGATACAGGGAGCGTCACTAACTAACTATCTACTAACTAACTATCACTAACACATCAAAATCAGTGCTTTTGGCACCATTTCAGAATCCTTGAGTAACTTGACAGCCGTTATGCCTACTTACGTATGTTTGCGTTTACAATACGACTTCGCTTATTAGAAAATAATCTTTACCGTTCACCTATATCACATTCACCGGTGTTACGCCAATGTATGGAAATTCCATGTTATCCAATTTTAAACTTCTGACGTCAATTTCAGATAATATTTTAGGTTGTTTGATGTTTCCGACAGAATGATCTGAGCGTATACCTTTATGAAGAATCAACCTAGTTGTAATGAGTCTAAGGTTCATTTTTAATTGTTATTGGACGTCAACCAAGAGTATACCTAAAATACACAGTCGTAACGTTGGTTTTTGTGCAAATGTACAAAGGTACATTTTGATATTTTAGTGGACTTAAATATTCATTTTAACACTAACGATACTAAGTACGTAAAATCTAGAAATAGCTTGTACATGATGATTCTCTCATGTTTCATCTTCTTATTGTTGTAATGTATAGTAAGCATTCTAAAACATTGAAGTTAAAACAGTTATAATTGTATTTATAATAAAATATCTAGATACTTTAATAGGCACGTGTAAGAGAATGGATTCTAGATTGAGGGACGTTAGTCAGATTGATGACATTCATTTAAATATTTATTACAATTTTGATAGGATGCAAGAATGCCTAAGGAATTTCGCAATACGACGATTTTGTGTCGCAACCTTAGAAATTTATAGGCTGTTTTAAGTCATGTTTATGTTCTGACATAAGTTATTTTAAGTAAATTTAAATATTCGTGTTCTGGGTGTTCTGGGTTATGTCGCAGAGTGAATTCCGTTACTCTGAAGCTCGTAATACAGCGAATTCCCTATTTTAAGTCCAGTTAATTTGTGTGGCCGTCTGACACTTTATTATTAGGAGAACTCGAAGCAGAAGAGCTTCTTTCAAAGCTGTAGAGTTTGTTGAGAATGAGTTCGTCTAGAGAAGGTTTTTTTATAATACCAAATGACGGGACGAAAAAGTCGTGCGCCTGGGGATAAGCGACACGCTTATACACAACAGTTGCAGTGTCATTCAAGGTGGCAATACCTGGACGAGCTCTTTCACAAGGAGCTCTACTGCTACTACTGCTGTACGAAGTACTGGTACCTTACGTATTTCTGCCGCCAAGCAGTAATGTGAGCATTACTGCGTTTCTGTTTTGTAGGCGTACTAGTGAAATTATATGCATATGGGACTTTTCATCTTATGTTTCAGAGTGGCACTGTCACTGCCTCTCAGATCTTTGCGAATTAAAGCACTGAACGGCATTGCAACTATGGACAGGCGTGTCGCTTACTAATAGGCGCGCGATTTGTCGCCCCGTCACTTGGTATAAAAAAAATTGTTATTATTCGGATCATACCGATAGCATTCTTTAAAACTGTGATATTTTATGTCAATAGAATTTCGCCTTTAGTACAATGCACGTAAAGATTACTAACTGAATAGTTAATTTATGTAACATAACATTGCTATAATTTGCGGACCTGTAAACGAAGTTTGATTCTAACTTGGATTTTCAATAATTAAACTCAATGAAATTCAATAGATACGATATGGAAGCCAAAATCAAGGTTAACGGCTTCTTATTTTCCCGTTGTATTAATTAGTTAGCTATTACAAGTGATTTAAATAGTCGTAAATTTTCATACACTACAATACAATTTTATACAATTTTTTCATGACGTCTTATTATTATGTTTCAATGGTTTGCAATGTGGGCACTGGATGAGGAGGCCCTGGGTTCGATTCCAGGTAGAACCAATTTAGGAAATGAACTTTTCTAAATTTACTCTGATTTGGGTATTGGTGGCTGAGAAGTGCCCCAGTGTGGGACCCGTTGCTTTGGTACTCATAGCACAGGGAATTCACTAATTTGAGACTAGGCAATTGGTGTAGTTGTCTGACTCCTTAACTGCCTCTGTGGCCGAATGGTTACCATGCTGCTCTGCCACGCAGAGGTCCCAGGTTCGACTCTCGGGCCGGGTGAAATATTTGTTTGACCTAAACTTACGTCTTTCGTGAGCTTGGGTGTTCTATGTGTGCGTCCATAGCACCCCCGACACAGGGTTTGGTTTACAATTTTTTTAATAATATCAAATAATGGGACGAACAAGTCGTGCGCCTGGTGGTGAGCTACAGGCTTGTCCATAACAGTTGCAGTGCTATTCAGAGCATTAAATCGCATAGTTCTGAGGGGCATGGTTACTGCGCCTGTCACCCTGAGACATAAGTTGACAAGTCCCATGTGCATATAATTTCACCAACACCCTTACCTTTCAAAACCGGAACGCAGTAATGCTCACATTACTGCTTGGCGGCAGAAATAGGCAAGGTGGTACTGTAACGAGGGGTAGCTCGGATTGCGTAGCGAGAGGTACTTCTAAGAATATAAACCGGGATCATCTTAAGAACTTTGGTTTATTTCACATTTTTTACATGGTTTATACTTTCAGTCTAGGATGTAATATGTAATATGTCAAAATCTTTTGTTTTCTTATTTCAATTCTTCAAAAGCATTCTAATTACAAAAACTATATTCAGCCAGCAATTCTACTCATAGAGTAGAGCCTAGACTACAGTACTACCCTGGACGAATTATTTCACAAGGCTCTCTACCGCCACTGCCTAGTGCCGGAATATGAGTGTATGCGTTATTATTATTATTTTCTATAGATATTGAAAAACCATGATCCTAGGAAAAATAATAATATTTTTTTATAAAACAAACATTGCCCTAACTCAAAATTATGAAATTAAGAAAATGCGATTTGAACATAAAAAAAAACTAAAGTCATAGCGAATAATAGGATTATTTTTAATTATACGTAATAAATAATTAGTTATCTATTTATAAACAAGAATATAAATTTATTGGTTCAGTTTATAGTTAACAATTTTTTTTAAACTTTCAAATAGTGTTTTCGCAATTCCATCATTTTTGTGTTACGATATTATATAGTTCTCGTGCGAATATTATACGTATAACCATCAAACTAACCAGCGTAGGTCATCTATCTTATTGAAGCAACAAAAACGTTAAATTCTTTACTAAAGTGCCCAAACTGAACTATGGTTACCAAAAACTGTTTCTCAATCGAAAACTACCATAAAAGCAATTGCCTGGAAGTCAATCAAGCGTTTTAAGGCAAAGGGCGTTAAGCGGGCATAATAAGCTCATTGGTCGATAAGATAACGTTCATTAAATCAATAGAAAGCCGCGCATGGGAGCTGCGCCCACGCACCTCGCATTCCAGGGAGGCAAAGACCTTTCGTTTCCTGGATCGCACACATCGAAAATGTAAACCTAGAACCGTTATTGAAAACAGGACTTTACTTTGTTTTCTATTGCTTGTAATGCTTATTGTTTCTTTTTAAATTTATATAACTGAGTTAATACATTTTATGTAATTATATATTGTACTTTAAAATTAAAAGCCGTGGTAGCTTAATGGTTAGACCTACCGCCTTTCAAGCAGAGGTCATAGGTTCGAATCCGAGTTCGCACATCTGAGTTTTTCGGAATATATGTGCGAAATTGAATTTGAACTTTGCGATGAGCTTTTTAGAAAAGGAAAACAATGTGACGAAACGTGGATGTCGAAGAAGGTTGGGGTATTGGAGCAGCGTAGCGGACTACGGTCTAAACCCTCCCCTGAGAGGAGATCAGTGCTCAGCAGAGGGGCGTATAAATGAATTGATGATGATGATATTATTCTGTCATCATTTAGTTTTAGACATGTAGGTAATTAAGTTTAATAATAATAATGTATTTATTATCTTCCACAGGGAAACTTATATCTAAGTACAGAAAATACTGTGTATCCTTTTTATTCTGGAAGATTGGTGCTCAAACAAGATAAACCCTGTGTTATGAGACACCAGTTTATTGTAAAAATGTATGCCTCTTGCCTAATAAGTCGACAAAGTATTATCTTTTTTCAACTCGTAGGCTTTGACATTTCTTCTTCTCTTGATGTCTTTTTAAACTGAATCTATAATCAAAATTGGAATTTACAACACTTCTAAATGTCAACTTTGCATATCATAAATAAAGCTTATATATACACATATCAAATCCAGTATAACTACATTTTTAACATCTCTCGGCAATCTTCGTGTTTTGGCTGTCGTCGGATTTCTATTAGTTGCCCTTTGCACTTAATGCAGACCGGACGCACTCAATCGACTTTGAAGTATTTAGAGTACCTACTATTCTTTATTTTCTAAATGAGATGAGAAAATAGCTTCAGATTCTAACAGATTGAAAAAGATTAATTTAAATTTTACTGTTCCATATACGTCCATGGAAAAGTCAAAACAAGGCAACAATAAACTAACTATGTAGTTCTAAATTCAAATTATTATAGATGATAAGAATGTAATAATAACTATATGGATATTTG